TCTGCCCGCCTTGGCCTCCCGAAGTGCTGGAATTACAGGCGTGAGCCACCACACCATTTCTAACAAAGAATCGTTGAAGAATGGACTTCAGACATTGTTGCTAGGTCTTCTACAGCAAATCTTGAACTCTAAAATGTAATTTTTATTGGTTGTCTTAATTCATGGCCATAGTAATATTTAAAAAGATATCTCTGTTTTCTGAAAGATATACAGTATATACTTATGAAATTTCTTTGTTAAACTGGAAGAGGATCTTTTTTTTTTTTTAATCACAGGTGCGTAGAGATAAAATAAAAAGTCAACCATGACTCCTTGGGTTTCCTGTTTAAAGAGTTGAGGGTCTGTAATCTTTCTTAAATTAACAGTAGTTTACAAAGTAGCTCATATACATAACAACATTTGAGTCTCCATTTTGTTACTGTATCTAAATGATGTGATTTAATCTCAGTGAAGAACCTCTGATATGTTGGACTATGTAGCTGAACACAGTGTGGCAAGGAGAAAAAAACAGGGAATTACTTTTCAGCTGTGGATCTAGAGTGGTGTCATGTTTGATTTAATTAACCTATGATTCTGACCCATATTAGAACCATCTGCAGGCAAAATCAAAATGGCCCAACAGTTCCAAGAGCCTCTCGAAACAGCGGTGATTGGTACTGGGGGAGCAGCAACATGAGAATGGAATTAGAACTGTTTTAATTATGGCATTCCTGGTTAGGCATAGACTTCATCGGCTAAGAGAATAAAATGCTGGATACTGTTAGGGGTGTGGTAGAGTGAGAAATAACTTCTTCCATACTCTTGATGTCTCCTTCTTTTTGAAGGAAATTGTAATAACATAATACTCCTGACCTTTCTCTTCTCCACAGGAGGTGGAGTGGCTTACCTGATTGATGATTTTAGAAGGAGAAACTGAGTACATGTGTTCTATCCCTTTCTTCTCCCCTTCCTCTTGGGAGTGAGTGGACTTTCTCCAGGGCAGGCTCTGCCCCTTGTTGGGAAGCCTCTGTTGTTGGCCAGTGCTGCCAATGACAGGGGAATGAGTGTGTCTGTCTGTCTG